TTACAACACCCCCCTTGAATGTTCATCCTTGAATAGATATTCATTATTTTAAAAAATTTATTGTGAAAATTAAGGGGTAAATATTACGACTTATAATGTCGTTGTATTTGGATGTACTGTCTCGTCAAAAACCTTATCAGGAAAAATCCAGTGGGATAAAAACTTGATGAAGGGAAAAAGAGTGCAGTGCATTCAAATACTCCCCCTGAACTTAGCATAAATTATGAAGGCGGCGCATGCCGATTTCCTGTACAAGTTCTATGAACTTCTTCGGGGGTAAAGATTTGGTGAAGAGATCAACCAGATTTTCACTGGATCTGATTTGTTGAATGTTAATCGTCCCTTCTTTCTCCAGATCATGAGTAGAGAAGAACTTTGGTGATATGTGTTTCGTTCTGTCTCCTTTGATGTAGCCTTCTTTAATCTGAGCTATGCACGCAGTGTTGTCTTCGTAGATCACAGTCGGGTGACAAGTAATAGGCTTCATACCGCATTCATTTTGGATGTGTTGAATCATAGACCGCAGCCATACACATTCTCTTCCGGTTTCATATAATGCAATTAACTCCGAATGATTTGATGATGTAGCTGTCAATGTCTGCTTCATAGATCTCCATGAGATTGCGGTGTTACCATAAGTAAATACGTACCCGGTTTGTGATTTCACCTTTTGAGGATCTGATAAGTATTCAGCGTCTGCATATCTAATTAAAGCAGCTTTTGCATCTTTGTGGTAGAATAAGCCGAGATCAACTGTACCACGTAGATAACAGAAAATGTGCTTGATCCCATTCCAATGACGTCTTGTTGGGCATGAACTGTACCTAGCTAATAAATTTACAAGAAAATGCAATATCTGGTCTAGTATTATTAGCTAAATACATTAAAGCTCCAACAGCACTTAGATATGGTACTTTGGGACCGAGTATTTCTTCATCGTCTTCTCGGGGACGGAATGGATCATCGTGTATGTTGAGAGATCGAATGACCATTGGTGAAGTCAAAGGATGAGCTTTGTCCATATAGAACCGCTTCAAAACTTTCTCGGTGTAGTTGGATTGGTGGATGAAAATTCCATTCTTCAAATGCTCAATTTGAAGTCCGAGACAAAATTTGGTTCTCCCGAGATCTTTCATTTCAAATTCTTTCATAAGATAATTTGCAGTATTTTTAATTTCATCGGGAGTTCCAATAATGTTTAAGTCATCGACATAAACTGCAATTATGGCGAATCCCGAATTTGATCGCCGAATGAAAACACGTGGACTTATTGGATCATTCTTATATCCTTCTTTGAGTAGGTATTCACTGAGACGATTATACCACATTCGTCTAGATTGTTTTAGTCCATACAATGACTTTTGTAATTTAATGGAAAACGTGTCTTGAGGTTCCATTAGGCGCATTTGCAGCCTTTCAAAAACAGACATGCCAATGAGAAACCTTAATGTAGTTGCATCAACTACTGGAGAATAGGTTTCTTCATAATCAATTCCCGGCATTTGAGAAAAACCTTGGGCAACAAGTCGGGCTTTATATCTAACAATTTCATTTTTCTCATTGCGTTTACGCACAAATACCCATTTAAAGCCCACTGGTTTTACGCCTTTTGACGTATGGACTATCGGTCCAAAAACATCACGTTTTTCAAGTGATTTTAATTCGGCCTGAATAGCTTCATTCCATTTTGGCCAATCGTGTCGTTTCCGACAATCTTCAATTGATGTTTGCTCATTGTTATTGTTTTCATTCATAACATTTGTGGCAACGACATAGACAAATATCTCATTAATATCAATATCTTTTCGATTCCATTGCATTCCAGTAGAAACGTAATTTATTGAAATTTCGTAATTATCAACGTTTCTATCATTATCTGGAATATCTTCCTCGTTTAAGGAAGTTGGATCATCATTTGAGATGTATGTTTTGTCAATATCATTTTCTATGCCACTATTTTTAAATTGTCCATGTTCTTGTTCAGAAGGATGAACATCTTTAGCATCACAGATCAATTCCTGCCTTTTAGTTTTTCTTGGTTTTATATCTTTTGATCCAAGTGGCCTGCCACGCCTTTTGCGTATACAAGAATTATTTGCAAGAGATTTTTCAGAATTCTTTGTAGGGATTTCGATTCTGCCAGGAGCATTCATAGTAGGAATATGTGACTTTGTCACTTTCTTTGTATCTGTGAATGCATCAGGCAACTGATTTGCAACATTTTGTAAATGGATTATCTTATGCACCTTTTGCTCACATATATTTGATCTTGAGTCAATATGTGACAATCATGTTGCATTCCATGTAATCTCTTTCATACTGGGATCTAATTTAGTATTTTCTCCCCCTAAGGTTGAGAATATTGTCTCATTGAAATGATAGTCAGCGAACCGTGCGATGAATAAGTCACCAGTCATCGGTTCAAGATATTTGATTATTGAGGGAGATTCAAATCCAACATAAATTCACAACCTTCTTTGAGGACCCATTTTTGTACGATGAGGTGAAGCAATTGGAACATGTAAGGAATATTTGTAATTAGATTTTGATGATGCTAGATTAATTAGGACTTTAGAGTACCCCTCTTTAGACTTAATGTATTAGAACTTTCCTTTGTAAAATTCTTTAGTATAATCGACTTAGCAGAAGGCCTCCAGAGCAGAAGACCTACAAAGCAGAAAGCCTCCAGAGCAGAAGACCCTTGATAAGGCATTGGTTGAATAGAGGACCTTTGGTTCTCTGCTTCAGAACAGAAGCCCTCAGGGTCTCTGTTAGCCTTTACTCTGACAGAAACCCTCCTGGTTCTCTGTTGGATATCTTTTCAACAGAAGTGCTCAAGACCTTCTCTGGTCAACTCTCTTCTAAAGACACCAGAAGGCCTGACACTTAGAAGAATTCCACCAAGCCGGGAAACCAACTGAAAGATTCCTTCACCGGCTAGGAGTCTTGAACGGAAAAACTACAGTACGCGCATTAAATGCACATTTAATGCCCCCCATACTCCGTAGAGTAATTGCAGATGATTGGCCGCAATGTCAGGATTACTTTATCCCAAAATAGTAACCCGCCAACTTTACCGGGTCCTACTGGTCAAGTCAACTGCTCGCTCATTTAATGCAGTTGTCCTCCTTCTCCTCCAACGGGAAGACAACCTCAGTATAAAAAGATACACTACGAAGAACAACCGGATAACTTTGCTAACTTTTGCTACAACTCTGCATACAAGATATTCAAACGCCAAAAACGCAAAAAGCCTCCATGAGATTAAAACTTCATCATCCTCTACAAGAGAAGGCAGAAGTTGGAAAAATCCTTATTTCCAACTCAAATCAAAGTTCCAAGTGTTCTTCAACTCTTCAAGCTCATCACATACAAACTCTTTGTAACGAAGCAAGTTGGAGGAACCTCTATTCTAAATAGAACCTCTTCTTTCACAAGAAGGACATCCAAGTACCTGGAGCTGTGACGTGGTGATACTTCTAGGAAAGCTCAGTGAAAGGACCAGTCTTAGGGAAGGCGGAAGTGCATCTAAGAAGACGTCTACACTTGAAGAAGACGTGGAGAGCTTCTTAAGTGATAGGGCTAAGGCATTGTAAACGGAAGTTTTTACGAGCTTCGTGGAACAGTGGACTAGAGGAACAAGTTGTTCCTTGAACCACTATAAAAAGCCCTGGTGTCATTTACTTACTGCTTTACATTCATAGTTTTTATTTGAACTGTTTAACTCCAAAGACTTGGTATCTGTGTTCAGCAGAACTGGTCTTGTGAGTTAACAGAAGGCCTACTGCCTTTGCTTCTTTGAGGCTACTAACAGAACACCCTTTTAGAACCCCATCCGCTGCCAGTCTGTTCTGTCAACAGAACAGGCTATTCTGTTAAATCTGGTACTTAACTTGAAAAAGTTAAAAACCAATACAGTCTATTCACCCCCCTCTAGACTGTATCCAGTACAACCGGGACCAACAGAACATAAACAACACAACCAAATATTTTAATGTGTACTAAGTTTGGCTCGTGTCCAGTAACTAATTGCATTGGGGAAAATTCATGATATGCACTCGATCTAAGCCGAATTAAATTTGCTGCATGTAAAATAGCATGTCCCCAAGCTGATGAAGGTGAATTACACTGCATTAATAATGGTCTGGCAATTAATTGTAATCGTTTAATCAAAGATTCAGCAAGACCATTTTGTGTATGGACATGAGCAACAGGATGCTCCACATCAATCCCAATTGACATACAATAATCGTTAAATGTCTGGGATGTAAATTCTCCTGCATTGTCAAGTCGGATTCTCTTTATAGAATGATCCGGAAAATGAGCTCTTAATCGTATAACTTGAGCGAGGAGTTTAGCAAATGCTAAATTTCTAGTCGATAAAAGACTAACGTGTGACCAATGTGTTGAAGCATCAATCAACACCATAAAATATCGAAATGGTCCACATGGTGGGGCTATCGACCCACAAATATCTCCTTGAATCCTTTCTAAAAATGCAGATGATTCAGTTGCAATTTTATTCATAGAAGACCTGATGATCATTTTGCCAAGAGAACAGGTCTTACAAGGAAAATCACTTGATAATGGAACCCTGATATTCTTTAATGGGTGTCCAAGCGAAGTCTTAATGATTTTATGCATCATTACTTGGCCTGGGTGACCTAAACGGTCATGCCACAACATGAATATTTTCTGATCATCTAACTTTGTGTTAGAAACCAAATTTATTTCGAATGGACTAATATATGTGAAATATAGTCCTGAGGAATATGCTGGCATTATTTCTCCGCGATTTGCTGGAGTATAGAGCGTCATTTATAATAATGTTTGTCCCGTTAGGGAGCATCACATATGCTTTCCCAGAGCCTTCAATGAGTTTCGCAACACCTGATATTGTATTGACTTTAGCTTCAACTAAAGTCATTTGAGAAAAATATATTTTATTTCTCAAAATGGTGTGCGTTGTGGCGTTGTCTATCAGACATAGCTCGTTATCATTTGAATGATCCATATCTTCAATATATATAAATAAACATTAGCTTGATCACAAATTATGCATTTTATTTAACATAAGAGTACATATATTATACATATTTAATTAAAAACAAAATAAAAAGGGGAAGAAAGAAAAAGTACATAAAACTAGTATTGTAGTATTGTACAACATGAGGAGTCTACTATTTTATTTAGTAACATTTTGGTTTAAGACAAAAGCATCATCCATAATGGCATCATCCGCGAAAAAATCAGCATAAAGTCCTGGAATCTTAAATTGGACATAAAGTAAATTCCACATAACTTTAATTTGGATGTTATTTGGAACATAGCAGAATTATAGTCACTCATAGATTTAAAGTCCTGGAATCTTAAAATGATCCAGTCGTACTGAGCTTTTGGTAAAAGTACCTTTTGTTGGTGGTCATACCTCTCCTGTAAATTGTCCCATAATTCTTTTGGATCATCGACCAAGAGATATTCAGATTTGAGACTTTCATGGAGATGGTGACGGAGAAAAATAATAGCTTTCGCTTTGTCCTGGGAGGATGATTGATTATCAGCCTCAATGGTGTCTTCAAGACCATTAGCCTTCAAATGTGCTAAAGCATCAACTTTCCATTCCAGGTATTTTTGACCGGACAGGTCAAGAACGTCGAATTCTCTTTTGCTTATGTTGGCCATTATATAACTGCAGGAGGATGATTTTTTGAAGATTTAGGAGCAAATTCATGCTGATAACGTATTGTAAAATGAAGGAGATGAAGTATAGATATGGGATAGATATAAAGATTATAACCTCTGGATATTTTACTTCTTCTTAATGTAAAGATTTTTTTGAATTTCTGAGTTAAATTTACAAAGGATTGATCACCCTATTTATACTACTTGCCTGGGAGATGAATCATCAAAGAATGATTCTACATAATTTGTTGGCAACATCAAACCTAGTCATCTGTCTATTACAAGGACTTGAATAGGATTAGTGTCCTGATGACAAGGATGAACAATTCACACTTGTCATTTTGTTGATTTTGCAACAATTTTTATATAGTGTAGTATTATTTGCAACATAGCCACATAACTGATATAAACAGAGAAGCGATTCCGGTGAAAACATAGCAATTGTTTAAATATATACTCCATCCGTTCCATAAAATTCTTCCCACTTTCCTTTTTGGGCCGTCCCAAAAAATTCTTCCCACTTACCATTTTTGGATAATTTGTGTGGCTCACATTCATTTCACCTTTTTCTTACATAACTACAACCACACATTTCCACTTTATTCCACTTTCTTAATTTCTGTGCCAAGTCAAAGTGAGAAAAAATTTCTGGTACGGAGGGAGTAATAATGTGTGTAAATAGATGATACCCGCTCGGGTAGCTCAGTTGGTCGAGTGGTGGGAAAATTGGACCAAGATTCGAAACCCGCAGCGGCCGTGTGGAGGTTACAGAACCTGAAATAAGGCTGGACCTCTGATGCGCACGTGTATAAGGCCTATCACCGGTTTACTGACTGAGTCACCGTGATTAACCTCCCCACCATCCTGTCGGGTCGGGGTGGGGGCTATGAGGTGAGAGATTCCACCTTTTGGACCAAGTGTGTAAATAGATGAAGTTGAATTGAAGCTATGGAATAAAAATGATAAGACACTTGAATTCATTGATTCCAATCCTATCAGATGAGCAATTCATTTTTGCTCACTCATCTTAGCTTTAATTAATTTCAGAAACTGTTCTTATCATCACATCCAATGTGCAACTCAATGGACTTGCCGACTTGACATATCCAATCTAGTAATTTTAGAAGGGCGGCCCACGCTTGAGATGCATGTCTGCGTCTTCATTGCCTCTACGCATATATTTTCAATACTTCCGATTGGCATGGGACAGCTTGATTGAGTCCCATTCTTATACATAATAAATACACACACTTATTCTAAATCCAACAAATATTGATATTGAATTCGGAACATAAAATAAAGAGAAATTACCTATAATAGGAGCAAATGAAATTGAAATTTCAAAAATAGGACTAGTATGTTTTTTTCCCCGAAATAGGAGTTATTACTGTCATGTATGAAAAATATTGTCATAAATGAAAAATACTATCATTAATTATAATAAATACTGTCATGTTAAATGCACTGTACTGCAACTATTTGACAGTCACGACGGCTACAAGATGACAGTAAATACTGTCATGTTAGTCATATTTCGGAAATAAAAACAAAGTAGTCCTATTTTGGAATTTCAAATTTCATTTACTCCTATTTTGAGAAATCTCCCTAAAATAAACTAACCGCACCGGACCCGCAAAACTATGGGCCCATTGATTGGCATAGATTTAACGGGAGAAATATCAAAGACAGCATGTGAATTTCATATTTACTACAGTACTAAAGTTTCGTTGAATAAATTTGAAAGTTTTATTTACCACTTCCTAGGTCCCATTTGAGATATAATTGAATCATAATTATACAATTTTATTTTTATTTAATGTAAATGTAGTAAAAAGAAAAACCTTTAAATGATAGAGGTCGGTATAGAGATGAGTAGCTAGTACAAATGAAGAAGACATGAGTACATCCTCATACCTTGCATTGTATTTGGAAAGGGTGACACCGACATGCTTACAAGTGTCTCCGGGCTTCTTGTCGATCTTCCTTTAATTTCAAAAGGCCCTGCACAGCTTGGACTTTCTTCAAAGCATACTATACGCTTTACACATGCATACACAGCTTGGAATATCATGTATTATGTACTACTCCCAAAATTATCTCATCTTCCCCCTTTTAGCAAAAAATTTGTGGTTCACAACCATTCTTACACATTCTTACACATTTCTCTCTCCTCTGCACAACTCTCCACCACACAAATCCCACTATCTTAATAAATGTGCCCAGCCGAAAAGGGAGAAAGATTAGGGACGGAGGGAGTATCACTTTTTCTAGTACTCCCTCCCGTCCTAAATAAACTTCACACTTTGACTTCACACAAATTAAGGAAATAAATTTGACTTTACTGTAAAGTACACTGTTGTGACACTGTTTTGCACTGTTTTGATATATATAATTTGCCAAATAAGGAAGAGAGAAGAAGTATGAAGTTTAATTTGGACCTACCCAAAAAGGAAAGTGTGAAGTTTATTTAGAAACGAAGGGAGTATATATTAGAAAAGTAGTACTTCACTTTTTGTCGATCTTCTATAACCGAAGTATATATTACTCCCTCCGGTTCCAAAAGATCTTGACACTTTGATAATACTCATTGTTTGGCACTGTTTTGCGTAGATTTATTTGTCAAATAAGGCAAATAAGGAAGTGTAAAGATAATTGTGATACTGATAAAAATGAAAAGTGTAACTAAAGATCTTTCAGAACCGGAGGGAGTAATATATACGTAGTACTTCACTTTTTCTTATTAACACAAAAACTAAGACTACATTTGTTTCAATGTATATTGTAAAGTACGTACTCGGTTATCAATTTTGTTTTTATAATTTAATTTCTTATGATATAATTCCAAAATTAGGAGTAAGACATGACAAAAAGTATGGGACAGACACGGTCCGGTTCGGTCCAATATTTTGTCAAACTCGTACCCGTACCATGACTATTGAAACGGTTTTGTTCGATCTTACACCTAAACTACTTCAGTACGGCTCCATTTTCAAACGGGACGGTATCATGTCATACCAATATCAAATAATATCATTTTTTCATGTGTTTAAGAGAAAATTAAAGTTTAGCCGTCTTCCAAAAATTCACACAGTCCAAAAATTACATAATTAATAAATTTTAGATAAACTATAGTAGTACAAATTTAAATAATTAAATCGTACTTTGGTGCGGTTCCAGACTTTCAGTGAACTAGCAAAGGCTATGAAAGTGCTAAGGCAGCGGTCAAAATTATGGTATAAATGTACATTTAAATAATTAAATCATATTTCGGTCCAGTTCAGCTCTCATTTTATGTGTAACCGGTCATGACATTGTTTGGAATTGGTACAGTTCAGTTCGGGGCAAAAAATTTGAGATTTGTTTCAAATCCCGTTTTGTGGTCCGGTACCATACTGGTTTGGTTCGGTGTCATGTCACTTTGGTATTTTGCCCACCTATGACCTACAAAAGGAAAAAAAACATAGGAGTAGTATTTTTAGTATTCCCAAAAGTTTTTTTGTGATTATATTGGACAAAACTATCCATGCAGCAACCCGGTTCTGCCATCTGACGTCGCTGGTCGCCGCCGCCAACATCTAGACTCACGTTACCGATCTCTAGGTGCATGTTTCTCTTCAAGTCTTATCATTTTGTGTTTGGAAATCTCAACTCGCGGAAAAACACAAATCAAACATAAAAGTGCATTGTTTCCTCTACTGAGTAATTCAAAAGGTTTAGAACTTATACCGAGCTGTCTAAGCATATGTATATATGGAGTACTACATACACACTTACACATGTCCCGTATACTCCGTATTATATACTCCATCCGCCCCTTAAAACTTTGCCATCTTTCCTTTTTGGGACGTCCCAAAAAACTTTTTTACTTTCCCTTTTAATCAATTATTTTGTGGTTTCTGTTCTTTCTCCTCTGCACAAATCTCAACCACACAGGTTTTACTTTATTATTCTCCGTATCAGTCAACTTTGGTAAAATTTTAAGGGATGGAGGTAGTATAAATATATACTACATTACATATACACACTTACTACACAAAGGTCAATCTAACTTAACTTGATAAGTGGATAATCACAACTCAATATGTAATCAAAGAGCCTCTTGGGTATGTACTTCTAATTCATACACATACCTAACCACAAAGCACGCCCGCATTATTTTCAATTGATTACATTCAATTCGCTACACTGTAAATTAAGTGGACATATTAATGAAATAATTTTTTACTATTTTTACAGATTATATAGTAGTACAATAGTACACTTATATATGTTGGGAAAATGGTTTTACAAATTAATATTACTCATATTACTTGTGAAAAAACCACTTTAAAATGAATGGGAAATTGTTCCCCAAAAGATAAGTGTGGAAATATATTTAACATGCACACACACTGCCACCATCAGTCGGTCGGTGGAAATATATTTAACATGCACACACACTGTCACTTAGGATATGTCCCTTAGCGAGTCCTTCCAAGTGGTTGTGGCAATTGAAAAATTACCTCTCAAATGGAAAGACTTCAAGAGTTACTTGAAGCATAAGCGTAAGGAAATGTCCCTAGAGGAGCTCATTGTCCGCTTAAGGATAGAGGAGGATAACCGCAAATCCGAGCATAAGACTGGATGATCAAATACCATGGAAGCTAAAGCGAACATGGTGGAAGCAGGATCCAAGAAGGGGAAGAAGAGAAAGCACAGTGATGAAGGAACAAGTGGAGGGAAGCCTTCATCAATGAAGTTCAAAGAAAAGCGTTATAATTGTGGCAAGCCTGATCACCGTGCTAAGGACTGTCTTGCTCCTAAGAAAAAGAAGACCAGACAAATCAATATTGTGGACGACCTTTCCAATGACATGGGTGAAATGAACTTATGTGTCGTGATATCTCAATACAATTTAGTGGGTAACACTAAAGAATGGTGCATTGATAAGTCCGTATTACAACACGCATTTGATGCATTTTAGGATCGGTTTTTGATAATTTACCTAGCTTTAAGGTGTCACAAATCTCAGTTTTAGCTCAAGTTTTGTGTACCAGGCGTTGGTTCGAGTTTTTGTTGTTTGGAGTAAAAAATCAGGTAATTAGATCCGGCACCGGCACTTGAGAAGAAATCAAGAAGAATTGATGAGCATTCAAGAGAGTTTCTAGAGTTTTGGAGGTCACCGGGAGGTTCACAATGAAGATTTGATGACAAAAAAGCTCTAGGATTTGCTATGGGATCAAAACAAGACAAATAGAGTTTGAAAACGGCGTTCAGAATGACCTTATGTCAATCGTTCAAGCATATCTCTTCGTAGAAGCATCCAAAATACACGGTTCAAGTTTCATATGAAAGCCAACTTCAAGGGCTACAAGCATAGAAAGACACCATTGCGAAAATCTGAGAGGAGAAAGGTGAAACCAGACGATGAAGTCAGATGATCGCTGTTGCGATTTCAGAGTGCGACCTTCCACCATTTGATTCATATCTCTTGATTGGATGATTCAAATCCCATTCGGCAAAATGTGGTGGATAGAGGAATTCATTATCTACAACTAAAAGGAAGGATGTTTTGTCAAACTCGGAATATAGAAACGGTGAAAAACAGGACTAGAGAAATTGTGAAAAAACTTGTCCTAGTTCGACCAGAAATCGAATTTCTTCCCTTTTTCTATAAATAAGGCCTTCCTAACCCTATTTTGTGGGGATGGAACTTAGAGAGGAGCAATAGAACGAAGTTTTGAGAGGTTTTTACTCTTGTTCTTCAATTCATTGACATTCTTTAATTTATAAGTTCCTACTTTTTAATTAATGACAATTATTTCTATTCTTCCCAAATCTATTGATTCTTCAATTATGAGTCGGTAGTAGTTTTAATTAGGGATTTAGGATTGATGAAGGGGTTAATCATGATGTATGGATAGATTCTTGATGGATTAATTTCATGAATTCCGTTTAATTTGTGTTTGAATTATTTAACTGATATCTCTTGTAACCTAGAACGGCCGCTAGAATTACAATTGCTTGTAGAATAAATTAAGAGAGATCTAGTTTATTCTAAGACACATTCACACACACTTAATCGTTCGCGAATAGATTAGTTAAGGGGCCGTAAGCTCGCTCGTCTTGGCAATAATTTAGGATCCTGTCGCATGAGAGATCAGCCTGGTCCCCTAAATTATTGTACTCTACGCCGCGAGAGCAGTAAGAACTTAGTATTGATTAGCTAGGCTCAATTAAATTAATTTCATGTAATTAAACCTGATCTCCCAGAAATATGATTACCCCGGAATCAATCCGTGTTCCCTTCGTCATTAATTAAGAAGAACCCAACCTATTATTTTAATCGCTCATTCGCTTTAGTTTAATTTCAATTCAACCAACCAATCTCGCACGACGCATTTAGTTAATTTATTTTTAATCGCTGAATTTAATTAATTCTTGATTCCCTTTTGTCCGTCCCTGTGGAGACGATACTCGTACTTACACCACTATATTACGATCTATTTTAAGTGCGAGAAAACTCACATCAGTTTTTGGCGATGTTGCCGGGGATGATGTCGGTTTTAAGGGTTAATTAGACTCAGCGATCTGTTTTTAGTTTTTCGTAGGATTTTTGTCCGCTAACCTTGTAGGTCAAATCTGTTTATGCATACACGTTCTAAGAGGGGAGAATCGATAATCCCTCTTAATCTTGAAATCGAAAAGCTTGCCAAACAGAACCGCAAGGCCCAAAAGGAGAAAATCACCATGTACCATCAATCTTCATCTGGAACTGCATGGATGTCTAGTAACCCTAACACCACATCTCAACAAGATTTCTACGTCAACACATCACCTCAATCTTCTCCACCAATTTCATCTAGAAACCCTCCAGGGTTTCAAAACTACCGCACTCCGACCTTTTCCCAAAATCATCCTTCACCACAATTTAACCTCCCTCCATTATATCAACTTTTTCAAAATACCCCTATTGCTCCTGAACCCAATTTTCAAAACCAAATCTATGGGATGCAAGGAGC